GAATCCTAAATGGATTTTCGTGACTGCGTCATAGAGCTCTTGTTGGATAATACGCTTCTTGGTGTCGTAGATGTTGTATAGTTGGCGACTCATCGATTGTCTGCTCCATGGCACCTGATCAGCGACTTGTGGATCGAGTTGCCAGAGAAGCTGCTCAAAGTACGGGTTTGTGAAGACAGAAAATGGTAAATCTGCATTGACAATGAGTCCCACACCAAGCTCACGTACGGCGTTGATCTTGGCTTTCGGCACAGCACTATAGTGTAAACGAGGTCATTTAGCTCGATCAGAGTCGTCAGTCGATGGGTCGCTTTCCGTAGTAGGACTACCTTCAAAGATCCTATGCATTCTATTTTGTAAGCTCTTGCGTCCGCGCGCACCAAATAGTAGCAGGCATACTTGCGAAGGTGATCGGCAGCAGATGTGGTCGCGCTTGCTGCGAAGAATACTGGCTGACTCTTTGCATCGCAAAGATGACAAACCCAGTAACCAGCTAACGGAGTGTCGCTGGCGTCAAGCTCAACGACGAAGAGCCCATGCTGTTTAATCCAGCTCTTCCTGCCTTTAGAGCCTTTCCGAGACAAGGATTCCTCTAAGACATATCGCTTATTTCTCCATACGGCGAGAGGCAGATCTCTAACTGCGGCACCCTCAGGAAATGCTGTTACAACACTTGATTCGAACTGGCTGCATAAGGTTTTAGGGGATTTAAGGATTGCAAAAGCCGACGGCGCTGGCGGAGCGTCCATTTTGGTACAGTTAGCTTGTTGTAAGCGAAGATATAGATGCCCTCAGATGCAGTAAACAAACCCGCGACGCGTTTCTTCAAGTAACGACGCGACACGGGCCTTATGTTAAAGGTATACCTCTTTATGCGATAATTTTAGGAGGTAATTTAAGTATCTCTCTACCAGAGGCCACCAGTGAAAACCTGCGTCTAGGGTAGGTGCGGGTCGCCAAGCGTACAAAAATCGGCTGTTTCAAAGGCATCAAACGTATATCAAATCCAGAATTATATATTTGTTTGTTTGAAAAGGTGATTGGACAATATTTGTTTGATTTGTTTGGTAGTTTGTTTGATAGGATTTGATTTAAGGGCAGCGCTGACCGTGGCAAGAAACAGACTGCTCTCGCAGGGGGCTGCCATGCACAGCAGGGTTCGCTTACACAGACTATAAGGTTCAAGGCCGCATATTAGACCGTGTAGCCCTAGAGCTGCGTGGAACTCACACGATCAACGTCAACGGCAAAGTCGTGCCGTCTGCTTGTGACCCGTACAGCTTGTACGTTCAACTATCACGCTGTTCTACATTGGACGGCATTATGTTACTTTCAAAGGTTCGGAAGCGAGACTTCATTAGTAATAAGATGTCGGAGAACATAGCTAGGGCCAAAAACCGGCTCGAGCAGCTATGCGATGAAACATTGCAGGAGTTCAAGGCATGGCAATCCAAATCGTCGGCGGAGGAAATGTAGAATCATAAGCTGTATAAAAAGAGTTGACCGCAACCTCCATAGTCATTTATAGCCGTAGATAAGGCAGTAAAAGATTAAAATTGAAAAATTAGGCGGAATTCTAGCTAAGCTCTGCTGCATAGGCGGCATTTGCATGTAGGAGAAAAAAATAAAAAACAGTAAAACAGCCTAGCGTGGGCGAGCGAGGGCGAGTACGCAGAGTCCATTTATAGCCGAAAGAGGAAATTTCTAAAGGTATGTTATGATTGGTCAAAAGTGACAGGGGTCTGCTTCGTTCCTCAAGGCAAGGCGCGGAGAGCCTCTCGTCTCTTCGTTCCTCAAGGCATTGATTTTGCAATCATTAGGCACATCGATTGATTAGTTATCTGTAAGTGGCGATAACTAATCTCGCCATGTAAATGTGTTTGATTAGCGGGAAGTTGTGGATCACTCTCAATTAACCCGGATGAATGCTGATTGGATACAGTCCCAGCTCTATCAACTGTTACAACGCAGTGTGGGGCGCGCCATTGGAAGTGACAAACAAAAGAACGGTTCGATGCAACGACACGGGAAGAGTTTGGTTTGGTTGTCGGACCAGTACGGCAGTTTGGGCTATTAAGTGGGTAAATGAATACTTAGTTAGCAGCTGCTTAGAAGCCGGTTCCAGGTCTTGTAGTTACAGGAGAGTAGCCAAATGGAACTGTGGGTCCTCGATGAAGGACTAGGTGAGATTTCGAACAGCTAGAAGACGAGCAAGGGCCTCTTCGAAGCGGAACTATCGATGCTTGCCAGCAAATGTCTCGTCTTTAACATTACCCTCGCCTCGCGCCCTCGTGCTACTCAAATATATCCCTAATAGTACCATTTTGTTGCTTCTTTGATGTCTGACTGTCCCACCTACCTTATCACCCTGCTTTGCATGGCTCACGCGCTTTTTTTCCAAGTGCTCAGATTTGTGGGCTGCTTCGAGCGCTTGGTGCGCATCTGGATGGGAGTGTGTCATGGCTCCGATGTTCGCTTTGCACAGGATAAGCCAGGTGGCTTAGATAGGCGAGAGCTTCGCAGAGCCTCATAGTATCGGATTTGTAAATAACATAGGTAGTTGGGATTTGTATTTATCTCGAAGCTGACTATTCCAGAGAATGGCCCTAGACTCGGAGCGAAACACATATGTATAACAAAGTGGCTTGCACTACGTAGGGGTCTGTCTGTCCTAGGTAGTAGAACAAGTGGGCTAAGTCCAAGAGCAGCAGTGGTAACAAAGGGTTGGTTAAGCGGTCGTTAAGGAGTTATCCTCAATTAACAAGTAATTGGTTAGATTGATCACTGAAGATCTGAACTATCCCAGAGGCTAACTAACTATCTACTTATATACTTGTTCATCTCTTCGTGATAGCGATCCTAGCGATCCGCACAATCACGTGACCGTGGGGTCCTGTGGTGACATAACAAGCCATATTCCAGGCGCCAGGCCCATTGGACCGGCAGTTATGTCACGTTCGTAATACTAAGTAAGCAACCGATTGACCTCACGCTTGCCAAACCTGGAATAGCCCTCGATAAACTGGATCATGGTCATCAAGAATGCAGAGGCAATATCAGCCGTAGTACTTTACTTCTCTATGCTTTCAAAACTACGTCGCTATTCTAGGCTAGTTCTTGGCTAAGACAAAAGTCCTCCGCTGTATTGGTACAGTAGCTACCGAGCCTCCATATACCATGAATTATACACTCACAATCCTTGCCTTGTCACGCCGTGATCAAGCCGACATGCTATAGGCTCCTTCGTTCTCTTGGCACTAGTTATCAGGATTGCATTGTACATTTTCATCACTGAACTGGTGCTCAATACAATCGCTGTTGCTGCATGGAACTTGAAACTCCACTGGTGTCCGTAGTAAGGCATTGAGGTCGGTACTTAAGACTACTACTTATCACTGCCGCCGATGGGGCATTTACCTTGTAGACTGATTGCAAGACATTAAATTCGCATTGGGATTGTGAGCGGCCTGGTTCCAGCGATGGTCTTAAGCTGTCAACCGAACCAGACCGGCTCGATTGCACAGAGCCAGGCGAAGGCCATTCCATAATCTGCCACAGCGGGTACCAACCGGGATACAAAATATCTGAAGCGGCAACGTAGGGCTTACTTCGACCTATACCTATGGCGAAACTGTTACGTCGATGCTGACATACACCATAAGCTATACTGGGCTAGCTAGCAATCGAGCTAGAAATCGAGTACAGCGCACGCAATGGTTCACAGTCACCGTAGTTAACTACATTCAGTGCAACCAAGCCGCCGTCAGCCAACGGCCAAGCTAGCTTCATTTCCGGATGTATACTACTGAGCGTTTTCTGTTGATGTAAGCTATATATGGATGGTGCTAACTCAGCAAAATTTGCGACGAAATTTGGAAATGTTGCAAGGGGAGCGCATCGCTGCTCCATAACGCCCTACGTGCTTCTATTGGCTAGCATACTGGCTGTAATCTATGGAACGTTGCCAGCTTCCAAAGCTCTAGACCCGCATTCAGCATAACTACAGGTGACTTTGCACCGGACTATATTTTTGCTTCCAATGCTCCGTAATTCGGAGAGTAATAGTCGTGTTGTCTAATGGGTACCACTGCAAGTCCTGCCTCGAGATAGTATTACCCAATTTGGGGGGCCAAAAGCCTTGACGTCGCTGAATTCCGAATCCGAGGAATAAGTCCAACCTCCGACACTCGGCCAGTCCATTATGCCAGTGCATCTTGGGCTACCGCCCCGCTCTCCTTGTTTATCATCATTCGTTCTACTCAGTCTCCTTTTACATTGGCCAATTCATTATTCTAGTAGTGTGCCCGTCATCTTTATGACGCTCGCTTCTACTCCCCGTCGTGGCCCGGCTTCTTAAAATAACGAAGCAATCCGCTCAAACTCAACTGCTTACAGTTGTCAGCTGCTCGCAACGGCCATGGAAGATACGACTCCAGCGCAGTCGCCTTGCGCTAATACAAATGAATCCCAGCAGGATGACTGGATAGGACCTGATGACCGAGATTGCCCATATAACTGGCCGCTCTGGAAACGTATCTATATGACTAGCGTTCCAACATTTCTCTGTATCAATGTGTTAGTATCTCGCAGCGAAATAAAGAGCAAATTCTCACATGTATAGGTCATTCGCCTCCTCTGTTTACACATCCGCAGCCGAAGGTATATCAGCGTATTTCAGAGTCTCGGAAACCGTATCCCTTCTCGGCCTTTCCTTGTTTCTTTGGGGGCTCGGATTAGGAGCTACAATTGCAGCACCACTCAGTGAGCACTATGGCCGCCGGATTGTATATTTGACAACAGTGCCACTCTTCGGCCTCTGCATCCTGGGCTCAGGATTAGCGCAAAACTTTACGACGCTAGCTGTCTGTCGATTCTTTGGTGGCTTCTTTGGAAGTGCGGTGGTCTCAGTAGGTGGCGGCACAAACGCAGACATATGGCAACCGTGTCTAGCTGGGCTCGTGTATCCCTTCTACTTCGTGTCTCCTTTCCTTGGTGCCGCCATGGGTAAGACAAGCTTCTAGTCGTATAGCATCCCATGCTAACAGCATCAGGACCCGTTATTGGCGGTTTCATCAGCGAATATGAGGATTTCCGATGGAACGAGTGGGTGATCCTCGTTTTCGTTGCCTTCAACTTGCTATACTGCATACAACAATCCGAAACATACAAGAAAACCATCCTCCAGCACCGCGCCCGCACGCGAGGCTTGTCCCGCAGAGTCCCAGCAAACACACCAAGCCCTTGTCATATCGTCATCCAGCAGATAGTCCTGAAGCCTTTCAAACTGCTCTTCACAGAGTCTATTGTACTTCTTATGACAATCTACATGGCGTTTAATTTTGCAGTTTTCTACAGCTTTTTTGCCGCTTTCCCATACGTATTTGGCGGCCAATACGGATTTACGACAAGCCAACAGGGACTCACATTCATCTCCATTGCACTGGGTTGCATTATTGGATTTTTTGCTGTGGTATACATAGACAGATTAGCATATCCCAGGTTGGAAACAAAATATGGTAGGGACGCAGTGCCGCCAGAATACCGTCTGTATGGCGCGATGGCAGGCAGTGTCCTCAACCCTATCAGCCTCTTCTGGTTCGGCTGGACTGCTCACAGAGGGGTGCATTGGTCAATTCCAGTCATAGCAGCGGTACCATTTGCAGTAGGCAATATTATGGTGTACAATAGCGGTGCCCTGTATATTATGAGCTCGTACGGGCCTCTGCATGGCGCTAGTGCCCTCAGTGCCAATAGTCTGCTTCGATATGCTGGCGGGGGTGCTTTTCCGCTTTTCATTGTGCGAATATTTACCGTTTTAGGGATTGGCTGGGCTACTAGTTTGTTGGGCTTTGTCTCAGTGCTGCTAGTTCCAGTACCGTGGGTGCTCAATAAGTACGGAAAGCGAATCAGAGCGCAGAGCCGTTATATCACGAGTGAGGACGAGTTACTCTGAGGAGCATGGAGGTGTAGCCGTCGAGTCATATTCTCATTTGGCAAGTATGGCTGATTGCGGCGTTTCTGTTTGCGGCGGCGTCGGCTTTGGCCGACCATCAAAATAGCAGCTTGGATCTCATCGAATGTATTCTCAACCTTTCATGTTAGCTCAGACACTAGATTACAATCTTTTATGCAAGATAGCTTCCACTCTACTGTAGTTTTGCCTTTCATAAAACCGGATTTTTATGTCTGTTGAAGACTTTCTTCGCATGAAGCTTACTATGCTACTCATAACTCGACCTGGTTACCACTAATATCGGTTACAGAGCTGCTTCTATGCTTTATTGTTCCCTGTTGTAAAGTATTTTGTCGGCTATACAGCCTCAGCCGGTGTGCTGGGCTTTATTAAATGCCAAGCCATCCATCTCTATCAACTACAAGTAGCACTGTTGACTCACGTAGATGGCTGAAAATTCATCACCTGTACGTTTAGGCCCGAGTTCCAACTTTATGGTAGTTGCGCAGCACCCTATTATCTATACTTCATTATCTGCTGCTTCAAAAAAAATGCGTCTTTCCTCCCCAGAATCTTGCTTTTGCTTGATGTATAATAGTCAGCTTACGTATTAAGTTCTAATAATGGTTCCCTATCTACGAACTTATCAGACCCGTCTTAGCCTTCCTCGGCTACTGAAGGTATCCACTCGTCTACCTTACGCTGTTCGCGCGATTGACTGTTGTAGAGGAGGAATCTCTTACAAAATGGATAATCTCTATGGATAAGAGAGGAATTCCCCCTACGCCAAGGCTTGTTCGAGATATCGCGAATACCATCGCACAAGCTAGCAGCACCACACCCGTTCAACCTATTACAGCACAATGGGTATCTCGATTCGTCAATAGAACGCCTAATATTCGATCAAAATATATCAAAAGCTACGATTACGTCCGGGCGAAATGCGAAGATAAACCAAGTCTTCAAAGATGGTTTAATCGGCTCGAATCTACAATTCAAGAATACGGGATTACTTCAGAAGATATCTACAACGTCGATGAGACTGGCTTTGCGATGGGGTTGATTAGTGCAAAGCGAAGCGTAACAAGCGTTGAGTATGCTAATGAAGCAAAGCATATTCAGCCTGGAAATCGAGAATGGGTTACCACAATTGAATGTATCAATACAACTGGTCGACTCTTACCAAGTTGTATTATCTTCAAAGGGAAGGTCCATTCTGCAGCTTGGTATCAAGAACCAAAACTAGGAAAGGATTGGCGAATTGAAGTGAGTGAAAATGGGTGGACAACTAACGCAATTGGACTACGATGGTTGGAAAAAACTTTGATTCCATTTACGGCACCATATAAGAAAGGCAAATACACGCTTTTGATTATGGATGGGCATGGCAGCCATGTCGCTGTTGAGTTTGAAGCGCTTTGCAGGAAGAATATGATTATTCCACTCTATATGCCTTCTCATTCTTCACATAAGCTACGACCTCTTGATGTTTGTTGCTTCAAATCACTTAAACAGACCTATACCGACTTTATTCAACACAATACGAGGCTTGGTAACACATCTGTGAACAAGCTTGATTTTCTTGATGCGTATTGCACCAGCAGAAAGCAAATATTTACAGAAACACTTATACGAAAGGCATTTGAAGCATCTGGGATTCATCCATTTAATCCAAATACAGTATATTCAACACTCTTTATTCAAATACGTACGCCATCCCCCCAATCGAGCCAAGAGACTAATTCGACTCGTTCTTCAACTATTCAAACGCCACACAATGCTCGATCGCTGAAAAAAAAGACCTCAGCGATTAAGAAACTCCTAAAGAACGGATCTAGAAGCCCGCCAACTCCATCAAAGCGTGCAATTGCGCAGCTTGTTAAAGGTTGTGAGATGGCTCTCCACAACGGACTTCTTTTAGCAAAAGAGAACCAGGAACTAAAGGCTTTACTTAATCAAAAACAACAAAAGAAATCACGAAAAACTAAGAGATGGAATATTGAACATGGTCTATCAATTCACGAAGGTTTACAGCTAATTGAAGGTAATTTTGCGAATGATGAAGCAGCAATTACTGCTCAACTACAGCAAACCAATATGGAGGCTCAAGGTTTACAAACTAGAAAAAGAGCACCAGCGCGCTGTTCTTTTTGTAAAGAATTAGGTCACAAGAGAAACAAATGCCCAAAGATTAATATAGTTTAGCTTTAAATTAATTGAACTTTTATTTATATTTATTTGCTCTAATACTACTTGAAACTCGCGATACTAACTGCTATGGGTGGGCCGCTTACTGAAGTGGTCCACTTACTGGTAAATTACGTTATCCATCGCCGGTGGCGGCCTAGACAGGTTGGCTGTGTGATGTCTGTCTGTAACACTAGCTACTGTAGCTGTCAGCTAGGACCGTTGCGCCCCCAATTAAGACTGATCTTCTCTTTCCTAGTAGTGGATGATTCTTCCGCACAACAGAGACTCTTGATTGTACTCAACCTCAGCATTAAAATCCGTTGTTGCAATGAACGAAACATGCGAATGTACGCTAGATCCGCATAGTATACATCATATACGTCGCGCTGTTGGATCATACGCACGACTGTTCGAGTAACATTCTCGTCGCTGGCAGTAGCCCATGCTGCCAGGAGAGCCCACGGGACAAATCCCATCCTAGCAGGCAAGTGTGACCCACTCTCCTTTGATAATCGAATAGCTTCGCTCGCAAGCTCTATAGATTCATGATGCAATGTAGTATTCAGCGGATCGAGAGCCGCGAGAAAGGCATTGAGAATAAGCGTGTAAGAGAGCATGTATATGCAAGCTGTCTCCAGTTGAACTTGTGCTGCAACCAGGTTACGTCGTGGGCCC